GCACAGCCCCGCGGGTCTGGTGGGTTACTGCGAGGCAAAGCAACAATGTGTGGTTCTGTCTTGAGATTGGGGTCAGACTGAATCGGACAGATTCCTAGTCGTTCTGATGGGCTGGGCAAGAAGCATTTCTGTAAGTCAATATGAAGTTCAGGGATAAAGCGTCTGACCATGGACAGGGCAGGGTTTAAGTGTCTGGAGCTGAAGAGATAATTAGCCGCTAAGTGGACACAGGTGGCACAGACAGCCTCCCCGGTCGAGTTCTCCCGGCAACGGGAGGTGTTTGACTCCGCGTGCCGAGCGCAGCCAGTCACCGTGGAGACTGAGGGCTGCGAGCTTTGACTCGCCAGGGCATACCACGTGTCTGAAATTCTAATTGTGAGCAGCAGTTAATTAAAAAAAAACATTCCTATGCAAACAACTCTTCAAAACACCTCCATCACCGTTAACCTCACAGCCTGTGTTACAAAATCTGTAAACTGTTACTGGGGACCTTGGCCAGATGTTAAACATACCAAGCAATCAAAAAAACAAAATGAGGCAGAAGAAATGTGTCTTAAAGCAATCTGTTTCATACCTTATCAACAGAATCCTCTGCTCTGATTTCAGAACAAAACACATCGGGGGGACAGAGGTGCCACATTGCGATTGCCAGGAGTGACACTGTGCTCAGGAAGTCTGCCTCCCAGCTAGAGGTGGAAGGTATTTGTTCATTAAAGGCTTGAACACCAGTCCCATAGCTGTAACGTATTTAAATAAATATGCAAATGACTACATTTCTATTCAAAGGCTTCTCTGACTTCAACAAGGTTTCTAAATAACCCGGGGGAGAGAATTCTTTTCCGCTGAATAGACTCACCTGTCAGCGACTTGAAATTAACATGTAAAAAAAATGTTTGAAGTAACTAACGTTAGTGTTAAATCCCTCAGATATATGGAAAATGAAAATCCCACCTCTTTTTAAAAGGTTAATTCGATTACACAAATTACACACTTGAAAACACCCAGAAAGATTTCAAACAATACACTCCCTTAATACATTGGATATAACTTGCAATCTAGCCTGCAAAATAATTTGTTTAGTACACTAAAAAACAAAATAAAGATATCATACAAACCACTAGTAGAGCTAAAAGGTCACTATCACCTTTATTCACACCATCAGAGGTCAATACATACTCTCTCTCTTTCCCATTGTTCAGGTTTGTTTGCCCTGAATTTGCAGGATCAGAAAAGATTTGTCATTTCTACAAAACTAGGCAGAGGTTGTGCTGGGGTAACTGTCACCTGAGTTTAACTGCATACTTGACCAGTTTTGAAATTAAAAAAAGCAACAATGGTCCTCCATGTACTTAATAAAGGAGTCTTACTAGTAAATGCTTCTTATCCCCTAACTGATAATAAACACATAAATGCCTTTCAGTATTAAAATGGTTTATCCTTGAATATAAAGCAGTCTAGAAGCAGCTACATATTAAAGCAATAGCTGTTCACTTGGCAGGTCTGTAGATATTTCTCAATTTGACTTCAGGTTTCCAGCTGTATTAAAAATGATGTGCTCATATAGTATAAATTCTCCAGCAGGAATGAGTTCTAATGCAACAGTTTATTTTAAAAAAAGTATTTTTTCCACAAAGCTAGGTAAAATTTCTTTTAATAATCAGTGCAGTTCTACAATTGAATAGTCCCAATGATGCAATAATGCTGAGCCAAGCAATTTTAATTTGAAAAAAAAAAATCTTAATATTACAAGGGACTGTGTTTGCAGATTTAGGACTTCCGGTATGAATGTATAATTGAAAAAATCCCAAAAGAAATTTAAGGACAAAAGTCCACTGAAGCTCTTACAGAACATGCTTGTTAAAAAAGAGAAAGCATGGATATCCACTGGTCCACCATAGATGTATGATATTATAAATTATTTTTTAAAAAATATAGTAAACTACTGTACTTCCAAAAGCCGAAAAAGAGATCTTGAAATCAAAATGGTTGAAGAAAGGAGAGTAGTGATGGCAGATACAGCTGTTCAGTTTTTCAGTTTATTCTCATACCCCTCCCCTACTGCTTTGTTATTGGGACAGCGATCACTATCCTGGAGAAGAGCGATTTCGTTCTCATTATAACATCCTTAGTGTCTTATCAGGTGTTTCGTGCATAACCCAATAACGTCCTCTGTTTCTCCACAAGCCAGCCTGCAAACGTGCACCAAACAAGGTAACTGAATTGTTCAGGGTCCCCTAATTCTGCTCTCCATCCCCCACCACTTGCACTGGGCTTTTCTGCATGGGAGCTGGGGACTGGTTTCACTGGAGGCGACAGAGAAGACATCTGTCTGCAGCCTGCTCTGTGCCCCGACACCACGCCGTGGTGCAGGACAAAACGATTTCTTCCAGTAATTAAATGCTTTCTGATTGCTGCTCAGAATTCCCAGGGTGCCCCAGTGGAAAAGAGGAACCTGCTATTCTGTGCATGAAAGCTTTTGGTGTTTTGTCTTCTCCTTCAAAATGTATCTAATTTTTCAGGTCCGAGGAGAGTAATATTTGAGTTTATGGGTCCATTGAAGCTAAGGGCATTTAGGCAAGCAGAGAGATGTCCACTTAAGCCCATCTTTTTTCAATCACCCTGAAAATGACGATGACCTCACAGTTTGTTAAGGGGCACTTTACTTGTGGAAAAATAATAGAATTATCGCATTGTTTTTCTGCTGATGTACACTATTTATAATTGGTACTGTAGATAGGCAGATTGTCTCCCTGCTATACAACTCTTATTGAATTGCCCATTATTATTTTGCTTGCTAAAGAAAACATGTGTTTCATTGGAAAGGAACAAGTAATAGGTTTATTCCATCCTGAAAAGAGAAGAAAGAAAACACAACCTTTCAGCCATGGAGCCTTCTTCACACACCTGAAGAAGACTCCACGGCCGAAATGTTGTTTTCTTTCTTCTCCTTTCAGCATGGAATAAAGCTATTACTTGTTCCTTTGCAGCCTACGCATGCTGACGCAGCTGTCCACTTGAACTATTTGTTTCATTGCTATGACAATCTTACCCATATGTACTTTGAGCTTCAAAAGAAAAAATACACAGCTGTAATAAGTGTATTATCAGGCAAATGTCTCTGTTTTTTAGCAGGTGCACTGACTTTTTAATGACCAGAGACCACAGATGTAAATTAATTCTGCTGGTTAATGCTCGTCTTGAACAGCGTTCATCAACAGAAGGCGTACTGTAAAAAGTCACTGGCAGGTAGAGTGTGTGACCACTTTTGGAAGCAGTACAAGCCGTACACCTGTGATGCTTTGCACCAGGGTGCAGATGCTGTCCTGTCTCATTCTGTCCTGTTCCCCTCATGTGGAGCCTGGTCTCTGAGGCCTAGTTGCCACATGTTGTCCCAGCTCAACCTTCTAAGTCTGCTGACTAGAGCAACCGTGGTATCACTGAGGACCTCCAGTATGAATGTACAGTATAATAGAAAAAATCCCCAAAGAAATTTCAGGCCAAAAGTCCACTGAAGCTCTTACAGAACGTGCTTGTTAAAAAAGAGAAAGCATGGATAACCACTGGTCCACCACAGATGTATGATATTGTAAATTATTAAAAATGTTTAATGCAAACTACTTCCAAAAGCCCCAAAAGAGAGGTTTAAATGAAAATGGTTGATAATAGGAGAGTAGTGGTGGCTAGAGACAGCTGTTCATTCAGTGTTTCAGTTTATTCTCACACCCCTCCCCTACTGCTTTGTTCCATGGATACTCAGGAGTATGGAACAAGCAACTGAGCCACCAACTGGCTTCTTTCAAGAAACACCCGGATGAGATGGATCAATTAGCTACTAAAAAACACATGAGCTCCAGGTGCTGTACATGTTATGTCACGCCCGGAGGACTCACTGCCCTTAATCAACTCCTTCACATCCCAGTGCAGTTACCAATTAACTTATCAGACACACCTTCTTCCACCTGCCTACTTAAACCAACCTGACCCACCACTCCTTGTTCAGTAGAAGAGGATCTCCTTCCACAGGTCTTAGATAGAATGAGCACCCAGTAAAGCTTCCTGATAACCCATAAACCGTCCAGAGGCAAAGAGATGACAAACCAGCTAAATCATGAAAACAACAACTAACTTTGCAGCAGCTCAGAGCAGCGTCGCTGCCTGCTGTCTGAAGAAAGATACAAGATGTGAAGAAAGGGTTAACTGAGTCCTTTCTGCATGAGGACTGGACTTCTAAGTAACAGGCTAGAGTTCTGGCAGGAAAGGGGGATAACTGATAAGGATTCCAGATGCCAGGTAGGAAACCCCCCAGGGAAGGAAAGCTAACGCTGACCATTAAGAGTGACCAAAAGTCTGTGAACTGGCCGAACACCGTGACCTCTCCCCATTACCATTGTAATGAGCTACGTCATAAGCGTCAGAAAAGGGCTATATAAACTGGAAGTTTTGTACCGGCACTTGGAACAATACTTCAGTTTTATTGTTCCTTACATTCCAGAAATTATTTGTGTGTTACAACATGTCTTCCCGAGCCTCTGAGAGAGCAGCGATGAGCGCGCAGGGCCTGCAGTTCCCCATTCCTCAGAAGGAAAAAAAACATCGAAATGCACCACAACAAAATAAAACTAATCCCCTGTTAACAATCTAGCTAATCCCTCTCATCCCTCATTAAACTGCACCACGTTCATTTACACTTCATAATGGGGCAGTGCGGTTTGAGCAGCATCTGTTCTTCCTGCGCCGTGCTCTCGCAAGCGCTGCCCGGCTCATCCGAGCTGCTCTTCCTGAGGTCACCACGAGGCCACAGGCCGGAGCGCACTGGCCAGCCCCTGCGCTGCGCTCACGGTGCTGCCCGGCTCATCTGAGCTGCTCTGAGTGCACTGGCCAGCCCCACGCTGCCCACGCAGGATAAGAGCCCGATGAGCCATGACTCTCAGCATGATCCATACGGGACGTCTGGAGGCCCTCTTCTTGTGTCACGCGCCCCAGTGAGAGGAAACACTCACCGATGCTGGGATACCCCGGTGTGGACGGGTCACCCCCAGGATTCAGAGTTATGCCGAACGCTTCGTCCAAAACCTGTCTTTCATTTGGTAGGTCGCAGGGGTCAACATAAGGCAGGACACCCCCAAAACCAGCCTCTGCCAGTAGGGAAAGCTGTGGAAAACAAATCAGATTGTGAACTTTAAATCTCAAGTTTAAAATAATAATAATAATAATAATAATAATAATAAATCTGAAAACTGACCTAAAGATGGAGCTGTAGTATAAATATATTGATAAAGCTGTCACTTGCGTTATAAATTCATAAAAAATTCAAGAAATACCAATTGTAAGGGTGACAGTGCACTGGTTTTCATAAATTAAGGTTAAAATTAAGGTCATCTGTGACATTTTATCTGCCAAATGTGAAAAGGGTAATACCCAGAAAATATTCATCAGTAATAAAATTTAATTTACCCCTGTAGCTGACACAGAGCCACACAGAAGGGCAGCCCTCCACCAATGACTTTATTAGACTCTTTATATATACTGCAGCAGGTTACCATGTGGAAATATACTGAGTTAATAATTCAGTTTGGAGGTTTCTGGCAACCATATGTACACAGCAGTACTGCTTGCATCTGCATGAGCCTTAGAGTTGCTGGAAACCTAATTAAATGCACCTCTGAGACCCGAGACACTGGACTGCCCTGTAGCCTTTAAGAACTAAATTGCCAGGCTAGAAAGTGCACCTCTGTGTCTCACGAGCTGCTGTGTTCTTTGGTTTCTGTTCCACCTGAGCTTTTAATTTGTGTTATTGAACTAATTAATTCCTTAATTGAACCACATTAATCCCTTTGCCTCGTACTTCATGCATTGGTGAAATGGAGAAACCCTACAAACCCTGCTTTATTCGGGTGTACCCCTGCATTGTCAGAAAGAACAGCAAATGACATTCTAATTCTTGCACGACGCTGTCACTTTTCCAGTAAAGAAAATTAAGGGTCTTGGTCTACTCCTGCCTACAGGGATGAACCCCTGTTTGAGGACTGAACATTGAAGCATCCGGCTATGTGTCGGTACAGTATGTTTTTTCAAGCAAATCTGAAGCCTTTACATGGAAATGATAAATGAAAGTGACAATTTTTCTCAGCACAACAAAGCTGCAGTCCTGTTATGGGAGTCAAAACCTTTGCCCACTTGTTGGAAACATGAACTATATCCAAACAGACATTCACACACTTCACTACAGGTAACCATATTTAAAAAATCGAACACTATATGATTGCACAGCTTTGCAGAGCAGGGGAAGAAATGAAGATAGCAGGGAGAATATGACAGAGAAGTGCCACTGACACTCTGTCATCCTTGAAGAGTGCAGCAGTTAATTACACAGTTTAATTTCCCCTTTCCCAGATGCTTCAGGTCAGAGTTCAGGAAGCAGCTCTCTCAGGGACTGCTCTCCAGGGTGTTGGATGCACTCACTGAACAAGTTTATTGGTCCAGGGAGAAGACTCAATATTGGAACAGAAATCAGATCCATTTTAATGCCTCACTACTTTAAAAGGATTAACTAGTGCAGAAAATTATTGGCTCTCCAAAAGAATTCAAGAATACATTTAAAAAGGAAACACAGAAAGTATTATCATTTGCATGTGATCATTCAGGCTACTTTGAAAAGAATGACGGGGTTTTTGAACAGAGAATACAGATTGAGGGAAATATTATAATCTTGGTTCATCTGAAAGAAAAATAGATGACAGACTTTTCTGGAGATGTAAGCCTGTAATGTATGATGGTATTACAAGGTAAAAGAAAAAACTACAAGATATTTTCCGAAGACAAGTTGGGCACTGCTGAGCAAGCCTAGGTTAACACAACCTTTGTATTATGACACTATTATTTCATTTTAAAATAGATAGGATGACCATAGGATGGTCTTTCAGTGTCAAAATTTAAAAATGCATTTTTTTTCCTTAACCATAACACCAGCATTAGCTAGTATTGTTTCTCTCTTGATTTTAAGTAGACTCTGATATCCGTAAATATTAATAAGTGCTGAGTCTACTCCAGGGTAGCAGTGAGCTGGAGTCCAGCCTGGCAGACAGTGGGTTACTGAGACACGTGTGCCACATTGTGTCTAACTACCCAGCAGAAGTAGTCAGCCAAGTAGACAAAATGCCATTCCTCACTCTGCGCCCCACTGAGAGCTGATGTGTGGGGAGCGTTCTGGCGTACTCCTGCTGCCATCACATCATCCAGGTGGGGCTGCACACTGGTGGTGGAGGAGAGTCCCCATTACCTGTAAAGGGCTTTGAGTGGAGTGTACAGAAAAGTGCAATATAAGTGTAAGCAATTATTATTATTATTATTATTATTATTATTAATAATATTATTATTAACTGTGTATCATGAGGAAGGTAACAATTTTGCCTTTAAAAAATCCCATGCACAGCAAATCCCATAAGCAGTTTCTGAGTTCAGAAAACATTACTTGTTTAAGACTAAACTCTAAAACTGCTGCACTAAAAAATCAAATAACACATATACAACAATTCCATAAAATATCCACTGTCCCTGTAATTTAACTCCAGACTATCTATACTGTAAGTCCTCATATTAAATGAAAAGCAGCAATTCTTCACTTGTCTGATAAACTTTATCTTTTAGGAGCAGTGAGCCTGTTCTGGTAAGGCAGTAAATAAACAGGTTTCACAGGGAGCGTGAACTCTTGAATCTAAATCTTCGTTAATCCAGCAAGAGGTTATTCGCAGATAGACATCACGAACCTGTGAATATTTTTATTCTGTCTGAGCTCCTGACATTATCGCCCACAATCATCTCTTGTCCTGTGAATTCTAGTATCCACAAACGTTATCTCCTGCAATAAAATGTGCCAGCCCTATAAAGAGCAAGATACTAAACAAATATGACACCGGCCAATTACAATTCTAATGACAAACAAAGACAACACAGTGGGGAATGACTATCATGAATAAGCATAAGTCCCCGAGCATGAATTTTCAAAACAGATCTCCTGTTTAGATTGTCTTTCTTGCTAACTGTGTTGTCACTTTGGGTCCGGCTTCTTCAATCTTTTTTAACACTACAGTTGTATTCCAAGACAGCGCCTTTGGCAGCAGCAGCAGCATGACCCTGAATCCTGATCTGGTCAGATGCCAGTGGATCCGAGGTCAGATCCCAGGGGCCTGGTCAGGGCTGAGATGGGGGATTTCCATGCAAAAGCCAGAGGCTGCAGGACGTGATGTTGATGGACCAGAAGGTGGAGCTCTATTCACTATTCACCTTCATTAGGGCACCTTCATCACTAATGATTTAACATGGTCCCAGCATGTTAGAAGGCACAATCGCACCTTTACTTCCTCAGACAGTTGAAAACATTGGTATATTGTATATATACTGTACATAATTGGTACAATTTTACAACTTGCTGACTCAGGAAGCCTGGAAGTAGTACTAAGGATACAAGTCATTCTGGTTCGTCACTTTTCTCCCCCCTTCCCTCTGGTGAGAGTTATAGGAGCATAAAGGCATGAACCTCCAGATTCAGAGACTTTTCCCACAAGCTGTCAGATTACTGAACTCTACCCCTACCACTGGCTCACACTGATGTTTTTTTCTTGAGTTGCAAGTTATTTAACATGTTGTTGATGCTGCTGCTGTTCTGTGTTTATGTTTTTGGTGATTCCTTTAATGTCTTTGAATTGGAGCAATAAACTGAACTGAACCTCAAATTGATGCCACAGTATGGTACCTGGGGACACTGAGTTGTAAAAGGTGCTGTCCTTCAGAAACACATATTAAACCAATGTCCAGAATACCTGGTGACTGAAGATCCTATGACATTGTTAGAGCAGGGGTGTTAAATGCTGGCTTCCTTGTTAAATTCCACTTTGGACTCAAACAGTCTGGCTCTTTCCATTTATTCAGTGGGTGAAGTAATCCCTCCCATTTCTACACTTGATCTGCTGTGCAGACACAGAATGGCTGAATCAAGTCATGCAGGTGGTGTCATGACTGTAATCCCTCCTCTGAAGGGCGCTCCAGCTCTTTCACATTTTAGTGGATTATGTGCACCTGCCTCCTATCCTGCCCCTCCTTATTTAAGCCAGACGCTCGCACTATTCTGGGCTCAGCTTCACCACGGCGTCCTGACCATCTGGGTCCGTGGCTGGGAGCGCCTGGCCCTGTTAACCTGTTTCATTCCCCGTCCCTGCACCGGATCCCATTCCAGTTTTTAAACCTTGTCTTGTGTTTGTTTTGGATAGATCACCCGGCTCTGGAGTTCTCCCTGGATTACCCCCTGGACTCCTCTGGTCTTGTTCGTTTTACCCCATTAAGGTTTTCATACTCGATTAATTTCAAATATGGCTGTAAATGAAATAATTTTCAGACTGTACATCTGCCTGTGCAGGAGGATGTGACAAGGCAGAGTCTTTGGTCAATAACTGCTGCATAGTTGAATAACGATTCAAAACCAAATGATTGGAGGACTGGAACTACTGACCCATTCAGACAAAAGTTAAAATTAGATAGAGAGCTAATTACAGGACTCGATAGTCTAAAAACACGTGTTTCCAATTTTACTGACCGCTACTGTTTCCTTTTGATAACATTCACTGCCATTTAATTGTGATTATTGCACTACAGACATAGACGTAAAATACAGCCCTAATTCAGGGCTTTTTAGTTTTTGCTCTCATTCAAAAGAAACACTTGTAAGCAGTCCTCTCCAGATCTCCACTCTGCATTTACAGTCTCACCACAGTGTCTGAGCCTAGCTGTCTCCATGCTCCATCACTGCAAGTCAGACAGTCACAGCACACTTCCTCTCCAAGGGCTGCTCTCTTGTCATGTGCGCTCAGAAGAAGGCCACTAACGTGCCAATTAGAGCCTCAGATTCAGGTGTTTGATATTTGCAATGTACCTGTGTGCCCCCTCTCCCCCCCCCTTCCAGAGCCACTGGGGCCTCACAGGGGAGGTGTAGGAGTGCTGCTCAGCACAGTGACACCTGCGATCGCCACAGCCTCCTACACTGGCAAGTGTGACACATTCAGCCCCAGCCACATGCCCTGTCTGGGCGCTCAAGTGCTCAAAAGAGAAAACCTCTTGCTCGGAAGCAACATACAGCAATTAGCCGACGACTTTTGCAT